GTATGTATTTCTCCGGACCTCCCTGCATCCTCATTCTGGTTTGTCTTATTAGTTTACCCAGTTTAGGTTTCCGGTTTCATGTTTTGTCGCCACCGCTGTTTGTACTTACACCCCTGTAAATAAACACTCACCTGCACCAGAGCTGCTGCCTTTTGGGTCCTTACTACAAATCCACACGGCTTGCCCCGCAAACCGTGACAATTAAATGGTTATTTGAGTCTCATCCAAGAATCTCATGTAATGAATTTGTTGAAAAATACGTTGTAACTCACTAAATTACTAAAGTTATTACACAGTGTTAGAGATGAAACCCCAACAATCAGCTAATCTTATATGAGGGAATTTTCTGAACTGGTGCTACATAAAGCTTAATCTTCCAGATTTTTCAGACTGCCTCCTCTAACTTAAATGATCGGAGTGTTTGGTCAGTTACTCAGATCTTTAATGAATGTTACTAATTACTATTAATACCAATTTAATCTAATTAACAGTAAAGAAAATTTCAAGTTTAAAGTGTCATTCACACTGCAGGACATGCAGGTAAAACCACCATAAAGAAAAATGCAGCTGCAGTTGGTTGATGTCCACAAATTTCCAGGCATTTGGTTAAATGTGCTCATGCAATTCTAAGAGAGAGGCTCAGCAGAGATAAAATCTAGTACTTAACAATTTCTATTCCATGTCTTAAGTAATATTTATAAACTTTGCTTTGAACATGGTTTTCACACACCATTTTTGTTTTGCACTACCACCAATATTTAATTTGTCTCATGCTCAAGTTAAATAAAACATTCTGCTGTTTATTGTGCCTGTGTAAAGTCTTACCCCATATACCAGCTCTCCAACCATACCATTCCAGATTTTGGTTTCAGCATCTCTTGCTCCATATTTGCCATCTCCCACAATCCTCAGCTGGTAGCGTATCCCACAGTGCTTTGCAATCTCCGCAGCCAGGTCGACACAGTAACCTTGCATCAGTACAAACAGCCAAACAACAAAGTCGCTTATATGAGATACAAGAGTAGTGTGTAATTGAATATCACATATCTTAATATCAAATTTACTCTAAATTAACGGCACCTTGTGTGTCTTGAAAAAGTTTTAAAAGTAAGGAAAAACATATGCTATTGTGGTATCATTGAGCTATCTTCATGGCACATACTTCAAACAACAAATTATTTTCATTAATACTTCAAGTAGAGGAATGAATAATGAAAGGTTTTATATGCAGAATGCTATACACACTGGTTGCCACTCACATGGTGCTACTTTAAATGGTGGCAGTAGCATTTGTATGTAATCTATAAATCCAATCCAACTTTATTTATATAGCATTTTAATATATATAAACAAAAAAAACAAAACACCCAGCATGCCCCTGCGGGCGGTTTATCCTTCAAGCTCGGGTCCTCTACCAGAGGCCTGGGAGCTTGAGGGTCCTGCGCAGTATCTTAGCTGTTCCCAGGACT